TAACTGGTTCAATGCTTATACATTCAAGTCATGACTTTTCACCTATAATTATATAATATATATATATATATTATATAATATAGGCTACATGTAAATTTTTCCAATTTAAAAAATATATATATATTTATTTATTTTTATTTTAAATTTTATATTTAAGATTAAATTTAAACTAAATTTTAATTGTTACACATACTTATAAACCATACCAAGCTTTTAACAAGCCTAAGAATGTGAAAAATAAACCTATTTGAGCTAACTCATTTAGAAACACTATTTGATTATACGATCAATAACGAAAGCATTAGACCACCTAAGAACAGTAGGTTTATCATACTACTTATGAACATTTTATAATCGTTTGAATACATTCTCCTCTGTTCGCTTGTATTTCAGAATCCGAAGAAAATCGGATTTAAATCCGAAGGCCGAATCTGGTTCCAAACTCTGTATAGCAGTTTAACTGCTTAAATTCATTTCATTCTTAAAAATTTTATTTGAACCTTTAACGGTCTTAATATCATAAATCTACTTTATAGTCTTAATAATGTTTGGGAGTATGTGTAAATTTCATCATACTAAGTTATTATATATTAAACCACCTACTAGGGATAAGTCGGTAAATTCAAAGTTGGAACTGACATTCATCTCACTTTTGTAGTCTCACATCTTTATTTTTGCTATTTATTGCCTCTATTTTCCAATACAAAATCTTTCAAATATAACATCCAATATTTCATCAACTTCAACGCGGCCAGTAATTCTACCTAACGCATTAGTCGCATATCTCAATTCCTCGGCCGCTAGCACTATATCCTTTTGAGCTACAAATATTTAAATCAAACATAAATCATTTAGAACATATGATGGAATAAGATAAACCTTACCAAGGAAGTTTTGTAAGCCATGAATACAATTACTAAGATTTTCTCGATGTCGAGATTGTGTGATCAAAGCAACTTGAGCGGCAGAATTGTCATATCTAACATCATATGCGGATTTATAATCAAAATAGAAAAATATATAAAGCAAATGAGACTGTAGTATATTGCCTCGATCATATAATCCTCGATCAATTGCTTGATAATCGAGCACAATGTTATAAGCTCGATCAAAAGTGAGTCAATCAATGATCGATTAAGAAAGTCTAAAAAAAAATTATTTTTCAGATATCTTTATTAAATACTGTATAATCGATCAATGGTTGACCCAATGATTGATTTATTATGTATGCTCGAGCAAATAAATTACATGCTTGATTGATTATACTCAATTAAACATACATAATTGATTTTTGATCGATCCAAAAAATTTTTTTCTATCAACCAACGATCAACGATTTTTTTGTCGAGTCAATTCCCTATGAGACTGATAGACTCACTTGCGTTTCAAAGAGTTCACGAATATGTCTAGAAATTCCTTAATACCATCCCCGTTCATGCATGATAAACAACAAACGTAATTTTCAGGAAAATTTTTAGCAACCGCCCTCTTCAAATAAACCAAGTCAGATGCACTTAAAAGGTCGCTTTTATTAAGAACTAGAAAAGTAGATTTGTCCATAGATTCGTTTATCAGTGGATTTATGATTCCACGTGAATTTTCATTGTTAGAACTCAAAGATTTTAAAACTTCAACACTAGAAAGGATACATATTTTTATGTCGGCTGAAAGCATACTGTAACCAAATTTATTAGTTATTCATAGATCTTATTCTATAAACATTACAATTTGATAAATATTACCGATCCTTGGCTCGCTTAATTCCTTCAATTTCTACGATATCATCAGATTGTCTTAATCCAGCAGTATCTCCAATAATAACTGGATATCCACCAATATTTAATGAAATCTCAATAACGTCACGAGTTGTGCCAGGAATTGACGAAACAATAACTGCTTGTCTCTGAGCTATAAAACATAATTTTAAGAATTATTAAAATACAATATTCTTTTTTATTGAATCTTTATTATTTCAAATAATGTACCTAAACAATTCAAGAAACTGCTTTTGCCAACATTAGGAGGGCCAAATAGTGTCACATGTATGCCATCTCGCAAAATTTCACCTCTACGGCCATCATTTACATGATCGATCATCATACTCAATATTTGTTTTATCCTTGCCACCACTATTCGGGATTGATTACGAATAACTATAGGATTATATTGTATATAACAATTATCAAAAATAAGACTTACCTTGCTCAAAAATCCCATCTTCAATATTTTCATCTTCACTGAAATCGATTATAGCCTCTATTAATGCTGTATTCTCGATTAATTGTTTCTTCCAAGTTTCATACAAATCTTTCAAACTTCCCTATAATATCAATAAATACGTGATCATTTGAAGATTAAGCAAATAATTATGTGGCATTGTTTGTACTTGAGCCTGTCTAAGAGCTTGTCGTCTCTGTACTTCAGTTTCGGCATTCAACAAGTCGGCGAGCCCTTCGATTTCTGTTAAATCAAGTTTGTCATTGTCAAACGCCCTTTTTTGGAATAAATATTGAGCCGATATTAAAACGAAATATATATGAATATTTGTTATTTGTCACGTTGTGAATGAAAACTGATTCTTCATTAGAACATCACACTGAAAAAGATCAGTTATAGCCAGTGTTGGCAGCAATAGATGAATAGAACAATAAAACAATAGAATAGAGCAATAGAATTTAGAATAGAATATAATTTTTGCCAATAGAACAAGAAATTGACAACACTGGTTATAACCTATCATAACCTGACTTATAATTTGGTTATGCGGCGCTTATTCAGCCACCTTCTAATACAAATATGCGAATTTCATTCGTGAAATTTGCATATTGTGTTGGGAGCAAATTAAGTTACACGATAATCATTGTTCAGTGATCACATAAGATATGTCGGATAAGTAGAATTTAAGACACAAATGGATGTCTCATACCTGCGAGTGAATTCGCCTCTCTCAGCATGCCTAAAGCCTTCAATAGAACCGAGCGCAGCTAAAACACCACTTATTATTGATATGCCACCATGTATGTGGAACTCAGCCACATCTTCCCCCGTGTAACTATTTGGTCCTAAATAGAACGGTTTATTTTTGTTGGACGCGAAAGTTGATTTTGCCGATTTCTTTGATATTGATTATACCTGGAAACCATAAAACCAACCCATGATCAAGCATTTCACCAGTAACTGGGTGTATTATAAATCTATTTGTAGCTATCCGCGGAATCGGGAGTGGTTTTTTCAAAAATTTTGGGGTCATACTTCTTAAAGCCTTTTTTTTTGACAGGTCTAAAATTAGTATATGTATCAATTATTTAACGTGTTATCAAGCTTATACTAACCTCTGAAGTTTTTGAGCCAGAAACTCGAATTATTGCGATTCCTGCTTTACCTTGAGCGGTAGATAATGCAAAAATCGTATCTTGTTGAGATGAATATTTATTATAATATTGCCTTCTTGCATTAAATATATCTAAAATTCCACGACTAGCTTGTTTACGTAAATATGTTATAAACGACATTTATATTCTTTACATAGAACATCAACGATTTTATTCATCGGATTCGTGTAACATCAGCGCCAGTGATGCGAATTTAAAAAAGGAATTGATCACTGTACATTAATTATAGGTCGTATCATCACTTTTGATACATCATATTTTATAAAATAAATTAAAAAGCTTATTAATAATATAAATCTAATGACTGTTATTTTAAACTATACTTTTAGGATTATATATACTATAATATTAAGGTTTAAAAATAAATTT